GCTGTGTGACTTGGGAGAGGCCTCTACCCTGATCCACGGACTTGGGACGTTCTAGCCTCTACAATCGCGTGAGCTGTTTCCTTGATATAATCTCTCTCTATGTATGTATTTATACACTTTACTGGTTTTGCTTCTCTAGAGAACCCAGCCTAAGACAGTAGCCAAGCACCATCCAGTTCTTGTCTCGTGGCAAAGGAGGCAGCTGTTCATGGAGGCAATTGGCCACACATTTCATTTCTTCCTCCCATTCCTGACTGTCCTTCTTCCTCTGTTGCTCCAGGCAAATACAGACCAATTGTTGTACCTTGGATGACTGTTTGCAAGCTTTTAAGACCACAGGCGCTACACAGAAAACTAGGAGATAGAACAGAAGCAATAAAAGATGTTAGGCCAATTAACTGGAATGTTCCATGAGACCATTACCCTGAGCCTCCAAACCAAGAAACCAAATCCCATGAGGTGTTTGGTTGTACATAAGGAGCCTCAGCAGCTGCTCTTTTTTTTTTTGTAAATATATTTATCACACAGCCTTTGTCAGTTCAGCTTTTTACAGGTGTACAACTTATTGACAGAAATTTCATTAATCAGATCTGCAACCTCACCCTTAATCAATGTGATTTTTCCATCACCGTAAACCAAAACTCAGTACTCCATAAGCAACAGCCCCCTTCCCCCCTTACTCCCACCTCAGTAACCACTAATAAACTTTTGCCTCTATTATTTGCCTGTTTTTATCTTTTTATGTAAGTTGGGTTATATAATATTTGTTCTTTTGTGACTGACTCATTTCACTCAGCATAATGTCTTCAAGTTGCATCCATGTTGTAGCCTGTATCAAGAATTTGTTTATTTTTCTGGCTGAGTAGTATTCCACTGTATGTATGTACCACATTTTGTTTATCCATTCACACCCTATTCTCACTGATATTAAAAAGGTAGGGATTTTCACTTCTTGGAATATATCCTAGAGAAATAAGAGCCATCACACAAATAGATATATGCACACTCATGTTCACTGCAGCACTGTTCACAATAGCAAAAAGATGGAAACAACCTAGGTGCCCATCATCGGACGAAGGGATAAACAAATTAGGGTATATCCACACAATGGAACACTATGCAATGATAAAGAACAACGATGAAGCCATGAAACATAACATGGAGGAAGCTGGAGGGCATCATGCTGAGTGAATTCAGTCAGTCACAGAAGGACAAATACTGTATAAGACCACTATTGTAAGAACTCAAGAAAAGGTTTAAACACAGAAGACAACATTCTTTGATGGTTACAAGGGTTGGGAGGGAGGGTGAGGGTTATTCACTAACTAAATAGTAGACAAGAATTATCTTAGGTGAAGGGAAGGACAGCACACACTACAGGGGCAGTCAGCACAACTGGACTAAACCAAAGCTAAGAAGTTTCCTGAATACAATCAAACAATTAGAGGGATAGAGTAGCAGAGGCAGGGGTCTGGGGACCATGCTTTCAGGGGACATCTAGGTCAAGTGGCATAACAAAGCTTATTAAGAAAATGTTCTGCATCCTACTTTGGTAAGTGGTGCCTGGGGTCTTAAAAGCTAGCAAGCAGCCATCTAAGATGCATCAGTTGGTGCCAACCACCTGGAGTAAAGGAGAATGAAGAACACCAAGGACACAAGGAAATTAGTAGCCCAAGAGACAGAAAGGGCCACATAAACCAGAGACTTCATCAGCCTGAGACTAGAAGAACTAGATGGTGCCCGGCTACCACCAATGACCACCCTGACAGGGAACACAACAGAGTCCCTGATGGAGCAGCAGAAAGGTGGGGTGCAGAACTCAAATTCTAGTAAAAAGATCAGACTTAATGGTCTGACTGAGACTGGAGGAGCCCCATAAAGCATGGCTCCCGCACTCTCTGTCAGCCCAGAACTAAAACAATTCCAGAGGCCAACTCTTCAGACAAAGACTGTACTGGACTGTGGGACACAAAATGATACTTGTGAAGAGTGTGCTTCTTAACCCAAGTAGATACATGAGACTAAGTGGGCAGCTTCTGTCCGGAGGTGAGATGAGAAGGCAGAGAGGGTTAGGGGCTGGTTGAATGGACACGGGAAATCAGGGGTGGAAAGGAGGAGTGTGCTGTCACAGTATTGGGAGGGCAATTAGGGTCACATAACAATGTATGTATAAATTTTTGTATGAGAGACTAACTTGAAATGTAAACTTTCACTTAAACTACAACAACAAACAAACAAAAAAAAGGTAGAGATTTTTGCTATTGCACCTCTGGAAGAATCCCCTCACCTTGACAAATGTACTTTGCTGGCTCTTTCTGAGATTTGTAGAAATGAGCATCTCCTCTTTACTTCCGACACGCACTCCTGTTTGATCTTCACTGCTTCGGAAGCTTTCCCGCATACTCTGTGGTTTAGAATTTCCATTTCTTCTTTTTTTAACAAATTTAGTTTCTAGTTCTCATTCTCCTAGTGGCTTTTAGATATTATCCAAAAAGGAGGATTATCCATGTTTTACTGCCTTCTTAAAACTAGATGTTCCTATAGCTCGTTTTTAGTTGTTTTCTGTTTGCGTTATTCTTTTTTCTTAGGTGTTAGTGCTGTTTATTGATTTGAGGCTTCTCTTTAATGTTTTAGTTTTCTTCAGTTGTTTTTTATTTTTTTGTGTGTGTCTTCATTCTTAAGATTCCTTGGTCTCCTGTTTGTGAACACTAGTTAAGTTCATCATAGTCTGTGATTATGAGAAAAGTATAGGACATGATTTCAGGTAGCAGACATTGTGTAATTTTCTGCTCTCATTCCTGTTGGGTGTCACTAGCCATACAGAAACTACCTGATTCTCTTTCCCAGCCATCTACACAAGGAGTCAGCAAGCTTTTTCTGTAAAGGGGGAGGATAGTAGTAAATACTTCAGAATTTGCAGGCTGCATATGGTCTCTGTCACATATTCTCCCTTTACTATTTTTCTTTTTAACACTGCTTTTATAATGTTCAAAATATTATTAAAGTTCAGGCCATATTAAAAAATTCAGAAGCCAGATCTGGTCTATAGACCGTTGCCGACCCTTGGTCTGATTCTACACTCATTGCTCCAACGTGGATGAATACCTCTGCTTCCTGTATTTAACATAAGTGGAGGACGAAAGAGAGGATTGACTTGTCAGGTTTCTCATAGTTTAGTTTTTCAGTCAATTACTCTGACATTTGCTCCAGGGTCCCATCTTCCTCCTTTTGAGCCTTCCTTCTGTTTTTGAGGCTGATGCACTCCCAGGATCTTCCTACTCTAACCAGAACTCCTGCCTGCCATAAACTTTGAATTTTGATATACACTCTTAATCCTGTTCAGTCTGTTTTCTGTCCTCTAAGGGTCTCCTGATTTTACTCTTTTTTGTTTTCCAGTGCCATTAATGACTAATTCTATTTAAATATATATATATATCTTTTCTAAAACAGATAGGCACACAGAAAGGTAGATAGGTAAGACAGATGGATAGATGATAGATACATACATACATACATACTGATAGATATCTTTTCTGTCATATGTAGAAATTAGAGGCGGGAGGGACAAATACACCATGTTTATCCAATCTTTGTCTCTACTTTTTAGGGCAATTTTCTTCACAATTACCATGAGCTTTAAAAAGAACGTCATCAACAACTATTTAGGCTTAACTATGAGTTTATTTCTCTGTGTGCCATTTATTTATTGTATTCACATTTTAGATTCTCTTAGATTCATATTTTAATAAGTTGGAATAATTCTTTAATAAATGTTCTGAAAAAGGTGCAAACTATTTGAGTTCTTGCATTTTTCACTCTTGAATGATAACTAGTTGGGTAGACAATTCTGAATTTAAAATAACTTCTCCAGGAACTTTGCTTTGACCATTTTTAGCATGAAGTATTGCTAATGAGAAATCTATTCCAGTGAGATCCTTTTCCTTTATATGTAACCTGTTCTTTCTCTTTATACAGAATCTTTTAGAATTTTCTCACTGCCTTTGAAGATATGAAATTTTACTAGGAAGTGTCTGCCATATAGATTTTTTAAAAACTAGTTTGCTTGGCAACCAGCTGACACAATCAGAATATTTTAATTTTTCTTTAGCTCTTGAAAATGATTTTCTATTATTTCTTTGATAGGTTCTCAGTCACTCAAATAGACATCTTGGCATCTTGCTGCCTGGGAAAGGAAGTTGACAAGCCATGGTGGCAGGGACTACAGCAGTTTACATTTTACAAATTAAATATTAAATCTCTAATGTACTAAATTTCAATATCTCATTAAGTAAAATTTCAATGAAAGTGGACCAAGGAGGGAATGGTTCTGATTTTGTTTTTAAGGAAAAGAAAGAGCACAAGAAAAAAAAAAAGAGCACAAGGAAAAAAACAAAAAAAGAGTACAAGGAAATATAAACTGAGCAAAGGGAAAAAACATGTAAATCCATAGGTCCTGAAGAATCTAGATTGTTCAGTCAACCTTTACAAGTTCCAGTGACTTATTTCACTTGCTACTGTCTTTTTCCTCATTGACTCTATAGGTGTTCCTGGATCTATGGCACAAGGAACCTCAGATATGAGTCTTAGAGCTGTGAAGTGGATTTTCCAGGAAAATATTCATAAAGGCTGCCATGGTAACAATTTCTCATTTTTTTCCATTGGAACTACATTTTAACCATTAGAATAAAGACAGGGAATGAGATGGCACTTAGCATGATAATATATGGCTAGAAGGACTGTGTAAATGATTGTGTCTGGGTCATAAAATGAATGTGTCACCTGTGACACCTTGTTATCATCTACAGGAGAGAAGTCCCATCACAAGGAGGATAGTAACCCACTCAATAGTTTACAGGTGCCTGGGTCACCAACAAAACCATGACTTACACACAGGCATTGGGTGTAACAATGCTTTATTCACATAGAGAAGGCACAGAGTAAGGTCAGCTTCAATAGTGGGCATCCATCACTTCCCGCAGCAGCCTACTCAGGGAGTTGATCTGCACATACCCCTTCTGTGCTGCAGGAGAAGGACCCCAGTCTCTCCCCACCAGGAATGGATAAAGAAGTGGGCTTGGCCAGGTGTCATATAACACACATGTTTAATTGAACAGTTCCTAGGAATGTTGACATGTGCTCAGGGCAAGAAGACAGTGATGTGCTGATAGCCCACCAGCTGCTATGGGATGTTTTGGGTCAAGACATCCCAGTAAAAGGGAGTCAGCTCACACTGTCATCCTATCCAAGAAGCCAGGCTGACACATCTGTTCCTGAGCACAAGGTTCATTTGTGGGTCACAGGGAAAAGTGGCAGGCTGCACTCAGATTGCCCTCTTCCACAGAGTGATCAAGAATTAGTAGCTCTGAATACATTCCAGCATACTTGTAGCAATTATTTCATCTTATAGATTTTTAATTTTAGAACTTTGAGAAGCCTTGGAAATCATCTAGTCCTCTTCACTGGTAGATATGGAAACTGAAGCCCTAGAAGATTAAATGACAAGCCCAAGATCAGCTACCGAGAAGCAGAAAGAGGAATGGAATATGGCCATCCTGACTTTGAGTCTAGGATTTTTGTTACTATAACCTGCTTCCCTCCTAAATCTCAGTTTTCTATAGTAATATCTATATGGAACTGGGAAAGCCCTTGGAGCTCTAGGAAAGTTCTACGACTTCTAAAATTTAACTAGCCTTCCCCACTCACACACGTATCTGTTTGATGTGGTACAATTTACAAAATTCTTCGGCATACATTATCTTCTTCTCTATGAGTCGGAGCTGACTTGACTGCAGCCAGTTTGGTTTGGTTTTATCTTCTTCTCAGCTCATGCATCATCTCTAATGCATATACAGGCACAGAAATGATCTGCTGGTGGTTTGTGAACCATAAACAGAGATTTGCTCTGGTTTTGTCCTTAGTCACCTTAAGAGAAATGGTTTGTGGAAAGCCCCTCCTCTCTTCCTTCTCCTTTTTCTCTCTCAACTTGTACCAGAAACTGATAACTCATTTCTCTGTCAGGGTTTCCACAGCTCAGTCTGTGGAGGACACCACTGTGTGACCAAGTTTTCAGTGGTCCTTGGAAGAATGAGCAAAGAAAACACACCGTAGCAAGCTTTTCACAAAGCTGTATTTCCTAAGTTTAAATGACTGTCCTTTATTTGAAATTAAGTCCTTTCTCCTTTGTTTGTACATTAAGACACCACATGAAAAAATGAAATGATGGGAACAGTTGATGTAAGTTATTTAATTAAATGGGTAAAACAAAAAATTAGCCATTACCTATAGATTCTACCTTTTTTTTTTTTTTAATTTCCAATCCATAAAATTTAAATGTCTGTGAGACATAGCTGCTTTTAAAAGCGCCTCCTAAAGCATTGTGGACTGACGTTTTCATAAAATATAATGAAAATGAATTATTAGAAAAATACAATGCTGCTTGGACTTGGCAGCAATGTCAGATTGCTACAAAAGTTTCCAAACACTCTCAATTTCTGCATTTATCTTGCTGCAGACTGGTAACGAACAGTTAAAGGACCAGTCTGCAGACCACACTTTTAGTGCCTTGATCTCTAACTTCATGCTCTTTACAACACCAGGTCCTGCAAATATCGACACCAGAGATGGGCCAAATCTTCTGTGGCGCAGTCCATTTGGGAAATGCTAAGAAATAATGCAGAAATTTTCAGAACCTTCCGTATAATAATATGGGGAGTAATATGCATGTTTCTTGAATTTATCTGACTACAGAATCACCATTTCCTTTTTGGTAGTATGTCTTCCTAATGTATTTCTCCTAACTCTAGTGTTCCATGGATTGCAGTTTGGGAAACACTACTCTGGACCATAGCATCTGTCTGTTTTCTAGGAGAGACAGTTGATGTCATCTTCCTCTTTACCAACTTTGCATTTAGAACGTGGAGATGGACCACACTGGAGTATGTGGACTTGTTGGTGTCCCCACACCTCTTTCCACAATGTCATCACGAAGCAAGACGAATCCAGTGTTTTCCTCTCTTTTACGCCGATATCACCTCTAAGCCTTGCCTCATTTCTATTACCTATACCTGCTGTTCTCATAAAAAATCCTCAAGCTTCTAAGATACTCCACTGGTCTCATCCCTTCGGGAGCAAGGGAGAATGAAGAGAACAGGATACAAGGAAAAGATTAGTCCGAAGGACTAATTGTCCACAGCTACCAAGGCCTCCACCAGACTGAGTCCAGTACAGCTAGATGGTTCCCGGCTACCACCACTGACTGCTCTGACCAGGATCACAACAGAGTGTTCTGGCTGCAGAAGGATGTAGAGCATAATTCTAATCCACACAAAAAAGACCAGATTTACTGGCCTAAAGGAGACTGGAGAAACCCCAAGAGTACGGCCCCCAGACACCCTTTTAGCTCAGTGGTGAAGTTACCTCCAAGGTTCACTGTTCAGCCTGCGAGTGGACAGCCCTGTAAAACCAAATGAGACTAATGAGGTACAGGATTCCAGTGACAAGGGCCAGAAAGCAGAAGGGGACAAGGAAGCTGGTGATAGGGAACCCAAGGTTGAGTAAAGATATTGTTGATGTGTTGTGAGATTGTTAACCATTGTCATAGGGCAACATGTGTAGTACTGTTAAATGAGAAACTATTTTGTTCTGGAAGCCTTCATCTTAAGTGAGAATAACAGCACAATTCGAAGAGCATAGTCAATGTCACTGAACTGTACATGTAGAAATTTTTGAAATGGTGTATCTTTGGCTATGTGTATTTTCACCAAAAAAAAAAAGGTGGAGAAGTTAGAGGGTTGATATATTGTGGGGTTGTTAACCAATGTCATAAAACAACATGTGTACTTCTGTTTCATGAGAAACTATTTGTTCTGTAAGCCTTCACCTGAAGTACAATTAAAAAAAAATATATTTTTTTAATTAAAAAAAAAAAATCCTCAGGCTTGCTCTCTTTCCCCTTTCTCCAATCCAGCTCGACCAACCCCTTCCCACAGCCATTTTCCCTCACCTGTTCCTGTTGTGCCCTGTGAATTTGCCATTTTGTTGTCAGTAAAAGCCATTTTTATCCTTTAAATTCTTCCTTTACAGTGTTGCCAAAATTTTCTTTGAAAACCACAAATCTAGCCAGGCTAGGCCAATGCCTACAGCTCTTCCCTATGTCCTAGGTGAAGGATCCTTTGGACAAACATGAGCATCAGTGTCCCTCTCCAGACCTGTGCCTACCAGCCCTGAACCATGCCCCACTGCCCTTGTGCGGCCAGAGTCCGTGAGCCCTACAGGCCTCAGTTTCCCCCACAGGGTTGGAGAGCGACTAACAGAGTAATGAGATGAAAAAAAGCAGCTGAGGAGGGAAGAATATTCCGACAGCAGGCTTCTCAAGGGACTGCCAGCCTGGTCTCTGGGGTGCCCTGGGTTTCTATCAAGGTGAAGAGTTTGGGAGAGGAAGTGGGAAGTTCGTGGCTTCTAGTTCTAGCTTGGATAGAGGAGGCGCTCAATGTTAAGAGGAGGAGTAGGTCCCTTAGAAGAGAAGAGTTCCACTTTGGATGTACTGACTACAGGCTCACTGGGAGAAGGGAAATAAGTCACTTTGCTTCCTAAACTTCCAACTACACACACAGCATAACAATAGTGGGTTTTCCACATAAGACGATGAAGTCATTGATGACTTTAAGAAAATCCCCTCATGGTGGTGACCAGCATGCACTGCGTGATCCATACCTGCCCATATTGGCTATATCAAGATGGTTAGGTGAAACTAAGGTGCAATTTGAGGCAATAAAAACAAAATAAAATTGACTATTTTATATAGAGGTTTATTTGTATACCTTGACTTCATTATAACTTCCATAGCGCTCTGTATGTCTCTGTGGCTGTCTTAGTCATCTAGTGCTGCTATAACAGAAATACCACAAGCAGATGGCTTAAACAAAGAGAAGTTTATTCTCTCACAGTTCAGTAGACTAGAAGTCTGCATTCAGGGCACCGGCTCCAGGGGAAGGCTTTCTCTCTCTTGGCTCTGGGGGGAGGTCCTTGTCATCAGTCTTTTCTTGGTCTAGGAGCATCTCAGTGCAAGAACCTTAGGTCCAAAGGATGTGCTCTGCTCTCAGCACTGCTTTCTTGGTGGTATGAAATCCCCATGTCTCTCTGCTCACTTCTCTCTTTTATCTCTCAAAAGAAATTGGCTTAAGACACTATCTAATCTTGTGGACCTTGTCAATATAACTGCTGCTAATCCATCTTATTACATCATAATGATAGCATTTACAACACATAGGGAAATCGCACTGGATGATAAAATGGTAGACAATCATACAATACTGGGAATCATGACCTAGCCAAGTTGACAGATATTTTGGGGGGACACAATTTAATCCATGACAGTGGAAGATATATTTTACTTTGTATTTTACTAGTTTGGGCAGTTCTCTACTCATTAGCCTAGGCACCTCACCAAGACTGACTAGAGGTCCAATTCATCTTGTAAATCTAAAGTGTCTTGTACTAGTAATATTCACTTATTGAATGACTTATTGCTATGATTTTCTACAACTTCTCGGTTTGAATCTTGAATTCTCCCATAAAATTTTATTTCAGACTCACCCTTTCTGCCTTTGAAAACCAATGCAATTGATAGATTCATTTGCAAAAATGATTTTTCATTGAAAAATTAACAAAAACATTATCTTATACAATTAGCAATCATTTTAGAGACCGAGAATCCAAAATGCCTTTCTTCTCAGGAACGTAAGACGGTTTTGTTTTGGCTGTTGTTTTACTTTGTTTCTCTCAATGTCTTGTTCTTTTGCAGGCCACTATTGGCAAGATATGTGTGTCTATGGGCCTGGTGACCTAAAGTGGCTCTATAACTCTTCAAGCATGTTTGCTAGCAGATTCGAGTTGGGGAAATACCCACTTACGGTGGAATGCCTGGAATTGAGGATTCGAGAGAGAGCCCTAAATCAGAGTGAAGTCCCAGCGATACTAGAATGGAAATTTTTCCCACATTACAGCTACTTTAGAGAAGATAGTACAAAAAAAACAATAAAAGACCAATAGCTCTCATTTTGGACTATGTGTTCTGCTTTCTTTGTAGCTCTTACCTGTGACGCATGGCAGACCTGCAGACAGCCGAGGAAGTTGCAGTGGCAGTATCTCCAGGTCACTGTGAAAGTAGAAGACAGAACAAAGTTCAGTTAACTGCACTTGCGCCTTAACCACAAGTGGCTGCTTCTTAGTGCTGAACTCCTAACCTAACCTATTCTCACCAGTCGTAAATACTTAGATCCTGACATGATGAGCGCCGTGAAATGCCCTACTAAAGGATCATCCCTTCTGAGATTAAACCAGTGGTTTCTACCCTCTTTCTTAGAGAGAGAGGAGTCCAGCTATTTTATACATGGGTAAGGATAGAAAATTATCTTAAAGCAAAGGAGAACTTTCTTGTTGTGCCAAGACTCTCTAAATGACTGAACATTGACTTATGCACGTGGAGAGTCAAGAGCTTTGTTATCCTGGGAGAAAGGTTCAATGAAACCCTTCGAATTTTGAAAGGTTTCTGACAATTACTTCTTAATGGAAGAATTGGTCACCAAGAAGGAAGGAGACCGTGGAACTGGTTTCTGAGGCGGCAAAGGTCTGGCCCTCCTGTGGCCAGTTTGCCCTTTGCAAAGTGACCTCATGAGAGAGTTGAGAACACTGATGGATAAAAACTATATGATTTGGGGCTCAGCCCTTTTTGTACAAGGTCCCTGTCAACAGAATGCAATCCTTAGACACTGCTTTGTCCTGAAAACCTCTACAAGAGGATTCTGTTCTAGCACCTGTGTGGGCAGCCACAGCTGTGGGGTCAGCCTCCACCAGCCCACCTAAGACCAGACCTTCACTAGCATGGGCAAAAGCTTCACACCCTACAACCTACACCACTCTCCAGAGCTAAATGCTCAAAACTTATCCTCCATAAACAAAATGTGGTATATACATACAATGGAATATTACTCATCCATAAAGAGAAATGAAGTTCTGATGCATGTCACAACATGGGTGAACCTTGAAAACATTATGCTGAGTAAAGTAAGTCAATCACAAAAGAACAAATATTGTCTGATCTCACTTATATGAAATATTAAATATCTAGAATAGCAAAGGTACAGAGACCAAAGTTTTATTAGTGGTTACTGGGGGGTCCGGGGGCTCCCACACATCAGTCAGTTTGTTGTACTGTGGTAGCTTGAGTGTTGCTGTGATACTGGAAGCTATGCCACTGGTATTTCAAATGCCAGCAGGGTCACCCAAGGTAGACAGGTTTCTGCTGGGCTTCCAGTCTAAGACAGACTATGAAGAAGGACCTGGTGGTCTACTTCTAAAAAAATTAGCCAGTGAAAATCTTATGAATAGCAGCGGAACATTGTCTGATATAGTGCCAGATGATGAGCCCCTCAGATTGGAAGGCACTCAAAATACTACTAGGGAAGAAATGACTCCTCAAAGTTCAATTGACCTTAATGACATGGATGGAGTAAAGCTTTCAGAACTTTCATTTGTTGATCTGGCACTCCCCAAAATGAGGAGAAACAGCTACAAACATCCATTAATAATGGGAAAGTGGAACATAGAAAGTATGAATCTAGGAAAATTAGAAATCATCAAAAATGAAATGGAATGCATAAACGTTGATATCCTAGGTGTTAGTGAGCTGAAATGGACCAGTATTAGACATTCTGAATTGGACAATCATATGGTCTACTATGCTGAGAATGACAAATTGAAGAGGAATGGCATTGCATTCATTGTCAAAAAGGTCATTTCAAGATCTATCCTGAAGTACAATGCTGTCAGTGATAGGATAATATCCATACACCTACAAGAAACATCAGTTAATACAACTATGATTCAAATTTACACACCAACCACTAAGGCAAAAGATGAAGAAACTGAAGATTTTTACCAGCTTCTGCGGTCTGAAATTGATCAAGCATGCAATCAAGATGCATTGATAATGACTGGTGATTGGAATGCAAAAGTTGGAAACAAAGGAGAAGGAACAGTAGTTGGAAGATATGGCCTTGGTGATAGAAACGATGCAAGAGATTGTATGATAGAATTTTGCAAAACCAACGACTTCTTCACTGCAAATACCTTTTTTCAACAACATAAATGGTGGCTAACATGTGGACCTCACCAGATGGAGTACACAGGAATCAAATTGACTACATCTGTGGAAAGAGACAATGGAAAAGCTTAATATCATCAGTCAGAACAAGGCCAGGGGCCCACTGTGGAACAGACCATCAATTGCTCATAAGCAAGTTCAAGTTGAAGAAAATTAGAACAAGTTCACAAGAGCCAAAGTATGACCTTGAGTATATCCCACCTGAATTTAGAGACCATCTCAAGAATAGATTTGAGGCATTCAACACTAATGACTGAAGACCAAACAAGCTGTGGGAATGACATCAAAGACATCATACATGAAGAAAGCAAAATGTCATTAAAAAGAGAGGAAAGAAAGAAAAGACCAAAATGGATGTCAGAAGAGATTCTGAAACTTGCTCTTGAATGTAGAGTAGCTAAAGCAAATGGAAGAAATGAAGTAAAAGAGCTGAACAGAAGATTTCAAAGGGTGGCTCGAGAAGACGAAGTAAAGTATTATAATGAAATGTGCAAAGACCTGGAATTAGAAAACCAAAAGGGAAGAACACGCTTGGCATTTCTCAAGCTGGAAGAACTGAAGAAAAAATACAAGCTTCAAGTTGCAGTATTGTAGGAATCTACGAGGAAAATATTAAACAACAGAGGAAGCATCAAGAGAAGATGGAAGGAATACACGGAGTCACTGTACCAAAAAGAATTGGTCAATGTTCAACCATTTGAGGAGGTAGGATATGATCAAGAACTGACGGTACTGAAGGAAGAAGTCCAAGCTGGATTGAAGGCATTGGTAAAAAACTAGGCTCCAGGAATTGACGGAATAACATTTGAGCTGTTTCAAGAAACGGATGCAGCACTGGAGGTGCTCACTCTTCTATGCCAAGAAATTTGGAAGACAGCTGCCTGGCCAACTGACTGGAAGAGATCCATATTTGTATCCATTCCAAAGAAAGGTGATCCAACAGAATGCAGAAATTATTGAACAATATCATTAATATCACACACAATAGAAATTTTGCTGAAGATCATTCAAAAGTTGCAGCAGTACACGGACAGGGGAACGGCCAGAAATTCAAGCCAGATTCAGAAGAGGATGTGGAATGATGGATATCATTACTGATGTCAGATGGATCTTGGCTGAAAGCAGAGAATACCAGAAAAATGTTTACCTATGTTTTATTGACTATGCAAAGGCATTCGACTGTGTGAATCATAACAAATTATGGATAACATTGAGAAGAATGGGAATTCCAGAACACTTAATAGTGCTCATAAGAAACCTGTACATAGACCAAGAGGCAGTTGTTCGAACAGAACAAGGGGATACTGCATGGTTTAAAGTCAAGAAAGGTGTGTGTCAGGGTTGTATCCTTTCACCATACTTATTCAATCTGTATGCTGAGCAAATAATCTGAGAAGCTGGACTATATGAAGAATGCAGCATTAGGATTCAAGGAAGACTCATTAACAACCTGTGATATGCAGATGACACAACCTTGCTTGCTGAAAGTGAAGAGGACTTGAGGCACTTACTGATGAAGATCGAAGTCTATGTATAGCCTTCAGAATGGATTACACCTCAACATAAAGAAAACAAAAATCCTCACAACTGGACCAATTAGCAACATCATGATAAATGGAGAAAAGACTGAAGTTGTCAAGGATTTCATTTTACTTGGATCCACAGTCAACACCCATGGAAGCAGCAGTCAAGAAATTAACGATGCCTTGCATTGGGCAAATCTGCTGCAAAAGATCTCTCTAAAGTGTTGAAAAGCAAAGATGTCACCTTGAGGACTAAGGTGTGCCTGACCCAAGCCATGGTGTTTCAATCACCTCGTATGCATGTGAAAGCTGGACAATGAATAAGGAAGACCAAAGAAGAATTGATGTCTTTGAATTATAGTGTTGGTGAAGAATATTGAATATATCATGGACTGCCAGAATAATGAACGAATCTGTCTTGGAAGAAGTACAACCAGAAGGCACCTTGGAAGCAAGGATGGTGAGACTACATCTCACACACTTTGGACATGTTATCAGGAGGGACCAGTCCCTGGAGGATTATCTTGCTTGGTAAAATAGGTGAGTGAAAAAGAAGACCCTCAATGAGATGGATTGACGCAGTGGCTGCAACAATGAGCTCAAGCATAACAACGATTCTGAGGATGGCAGAGGACTGGGCAGTGTTTTGTTCTGTTGTACATAAGTTCACTATGAGTTAGAAGCGACTGGAAGGCACCTAACAACAACAGGGATGGGGGATGGGGGGAAGGGGGTCCATTGTTTTGGAAGCAGTGAGTTTCTGTTTAAGGTGATGGGAAATTTGGCAATAATCATTGGCGAGGGTTGCACAACATGATTAATGTAATTGATATCACTGAATTGTATACATGAAAAACTGACTTAGCAGATGTTGTGTTATATATTTTTTTACAACAACAAAAATAAATGAAAAAAAAAACCTTATTCTCTCATAATAGCATAAATTCATTTTAGTCCACTTCCCCTCTCCCTGGTCCAAACCTCTCCTTGTTAAGTGTTTCCCCCAATAACTAGCCATTGCTTGATAGAATGTGACATTTATTGGTATAGGGAAGACTGGTAACAATCCATTACAAATATGCCTGCCCTGGAATGCTGTGATCATTAAGATTGTGTGTCAACCTGGCTGGGCCATGATCCTCAGTGGTTTGCCAGTTATGATGTAGTTTGGCAGTCATATGATGATGTGATCACTTCCATGATGAGATTCGATATCATGTGATTACCTCCATGATGGCATCTGCTGTGAGTACCCAATCACTTGAAAGGGAATTTCCTTGCGGGTGTGGCCTGCATCAAATATAAGTGGGCTTTCTGGCAAGGCTGGAGGGCTGTTGTTCACTCTGGATCCTGCAGCTGGCTCC